TCGTCTCACCGCACTCCACACACAGCCCGCCGCCACCCGCGCTTGTCTAGTGCCAGAGCAGCTCTTGTATTGTGTACCTCACCCTTAAAAAATATCTGTTATGATAGCAATACCTAACCCCCTTTGAAAAAGAACAGGTTTTATTACAAACGTTTTATACAAAGTAAATTATAAATACAGCCTTCAAACAAATGGCTTTTGGCAATCAGAAGGGAAAGACGGGTGCTACACCTGGTACGTGGACAAAAACCTGACGCGAGGATCAAGGAGGGACATGAATTCCTGTATACACCTCGGGAAAAACAAATACAGCCTTTGCTGTGTAGGAAAGAGTTACTCTGTAACATCAGTTACTAGCACCATGTAAAAATAACAAATTACACATTGCCTTTTAAAAATGGGAGATTTGTTTGTTTAAACTAAAGCCTGTCTCTTAACAGGCTGGTTCCTATCAGTAGTTAAGAATCAGTATTTAAAACAGCACAGGTTACGTGGTGATACAGCGATTTGTTACTAAAAGGGCTGTGTAGAAAACGTAAGACTTAAATATTTCCCTCAAGAAACAAGTAGTAACGCTGCTTACAGTTCTTAAAAAGTGCCATCAATTTCTCAAGTATATTCCATTTCATGGAATTACTGGAGGAGGTAATGATGTATTTACATAACGTTGTTATGCAGCTAACTTTAACTTCTTCTTCTTAGCTTTCATGACAGGTGGCAATGATATTTTGAAAGCAGTCCTGAAACAACACAAAAAAAGGAACTGTCAGATACACTGAACATATTTCCACACCCACCCCTGAAACAAGAAGAGACACTTACTCGCATGTACTACAAATAGGACTGAAGTTGCAGAATACTGGAAAATAAAAGAATTGGCTTTCACTAAAATAGTTCATTTGAATGGAAGAATTCAGACTCTTAAATATTTATAAACTTACTTGACAAGCACACAGAGCACACATAACCAATTTCAATGAGATTTCGATGACAGAAGCAGGCTGCTCTGTAGTCAACATGAACAGGAGGTGGAAGGACAAGCTGTGATCTTTGCTCTTGATCAGGGAGAAATACCCACTGCAGGAACAGACAAAAAATATTTTGCAAATTGGAATGGTATTGCTGTATTCCTTTGTCAATAACACATCGGTAAGATTTCCCATCTGCCACAGAAAAAAAACACTGAAGTGCTTCTTAAATGACTTACCAACAAATACTGCAGAAGGGATGGCATGTGGGGCACTTTCAAATATATGCCACCCGTAATGTCACAAGCCTGCAAAGCAGAGAGCATGATCAGATTTCCACATCTGATGGGATTAACAGGATATTTAAAATATCCACATACTGCTCAAGGCCTGCATGTTGGAACTGTCAGATCCACTGAACACATTTCCACACCCACTCTTGAAACAAATAACAGAGCCTTAGAACACATCAAACCACCTAGCATCAAGCATCTATGAATAAAGGTAAACAGCAAGTAAGAATAAGAAGTTCTTTACCTGTTGTAGAAGACCTGAATCAGTGTCCAAGACACAAGCATCAATCAAAACACTCTGCAAGAAAAGAGACAAAATGCATGAAAAACAAATTCAGCTAGGAGCAATGCAGCGTCATCAGTGTTGCCGTCATGGCCTGTTTCAGCTATAAATACACTCCACATATAATGAACATGCTTTTACAGCTGCAGGACCACCACAGCCATGGGGAAGCTCTTTCACTTGATCAGAACATAATCATAAGAGAAATGAACAATTTTGTTACTTTTGCATATTAATAAAATATACATCAAAATGAAATGCCAGCTTCACCTGTTTCTGTGCTGCAAAGATCACATTCATGAAATTCATATATTGCAACGCACTGTCTTCTGCAGCTTTTATGACCTAAATAAAGCAATGCAAACTTGTTAGCCTAGATAATATCATCAGATTTCAACACTAAAAGAAAACTGACAGCAAAAGTTCTTACCAAAATCCTTGATTTAATTTCTTGATTGGCTAAGTATTGAAGAGAAAAAGAAATGCATGAGTACATTACTTCTGTAACCTGTAGTTTGCCCTTGTAGCTCTGTAGCATCTAACATCTCAGTAAGATATCCAACATCTGAGATGTCACATATCTAACATCTCAATTAAAATATATATATGAAACTGTTTTACAGTCCCAGTGACACAGAAAGCAGCAGAAATATTTGACAAGTATCTCTAGACTAATTCAGACTTGCTGTGAAAGTAGACCCATTTCATTTATTGTCCAAAAGCAGTTAGATGGTGATCAGGAAAGAAATGTTCAAAGTTGTTCATTACTAACTCCCTGCTTGAAAACACTCCAGGTGGTCCCTTTGGAAGAGGATTTGTGCATCACGTGGCTTTCAAGAAGTTCCTCTCAACCTCCAGTTGTTCTAAGGAGCTACTTGCATCCAACAGAAAATCAGAATAAGAATGTGGACTAATGATCAAGCCCTTTAATTCTAATCACCACCCAGACCTAGGGCAATGGGCAACTTCAATTAGTCAGGATAAACCTGTACCTATTATTGCCAAACTGGGAAATGGGGGTGTGTCAAAACATATGCATATTTGTTTGTATGCATGTTGCATTTACATAAATATTTGAATCAGAATAACAGATATAAGTACTCAAAACAGTAGAAGAGGCATTACCTTTCACCTCTTTGCTCATCTTGTTGATAACTACATTAGCTGACATTAAGGAATCTAGGGTCTGTTCTTGGAAATTACTCCAGTATCCGTACCACATATTCACCACCTTAGCAACACACATTTTAATAAGCATGACCCACAGTTTTTAGGCAAACATTTCAGTTTGGAGTGTTATTACAGTACAGGAATAGTAAAACCTAATTAATATTATAAGAAACAGTCTTAAAAATACATAAAGGCTTTTAAGACTCTGCAATCAAAAGGATACAACAAAGCGCTTTAGCAAGTGATCCTGCTAAGAGAGTTTCTGTCTGCTGGCCCCTCATGTCAGCTGCAATACAAGAAAAGTTGCAAAAGTTTATCTTTGGCAGGTAGTATTAATGCAGAGGCCTCAAATGTCAAGCATAAGAGTCTAAGTGTTTTGCAGTTCTGCATATTAAACCTAGAATTTTCTTCTCCTTACTTTTCGTCATGAGGTCTTTAATCTCTTCTGCAATCACATCATTTATTGCTGTTAACAATTCATATTTTCCATCCTTGCTGCCAGAGCAATTAGATTCCATGGAACTACTACCATCACCAAAGAGATCTGCAAAAGCCCAACGCTTCCCAGGGTACAAGAAACGGCTGAAACAGAGGGAGAACAAAATAATTAATGTTTTGCTTTTAACGTTGTAAGAAGAAAATGCCATGAACTAACCACCTGTAAACAGCAATACTCTCAAGTATAACTTCAAATAATGGTAATACGCCAGCCAGTAAAGAGACTACATAAAGCAGGCAATCTTCAAACCCAAAATGGAATAAAACCCACATTCATCTCCCTCCTTTCAAGACACCTCTTAAAAGAATTGTCAAAAAGATACCATGCCTGCACTTCTGGGGTAGATCCCGAGACTCACAACTATCTGAGTTTATCCTGTTTAGGAAACTTTTGCCACTTGCATTGTTCTGTTCACCACATTTCAACCATCCTAGCTCTCCCTCTCTCCATACATTTCCAAGCAAAAGCCTGTTTAAAAGCCTCCATTTTGTCTTATGAGCCTTCTTGTTGCTTTCTGTAAGGCACTAAGGTTATTTCTTTCCTACACCGTTTCAGTTAATTTCTGTTTTTAAGACATTATGCATTTTAAACCTGATTTCAGTTAAATAATTCAACAAAAAAATCAGGAGACAGATATATAAACCTTTACACTGCTAAGAAGAAACTATACCTTTCTTGTGTGTGACTGGCTATTACAGCAAGTTTGTTGCTGCGATTCATAAACAAGTGAGAATTTCCCAGTACCATCGCTGCATCAATGCATTTTGATAGGGTGAACTGCCAAAAAAAAAAAAAAAAAAAAGAAGAAAATAGATATAGCACAATGACATTAACAGTTCAGTAATTTATTGGCTACTTACCAATAATTAAAAAAAAAAAAAGTAAAAACCAATTTCCTTTGGAAATCACCCTCAGTAGTACCAACACCCCAAAGACACACCTCAGCTTCTCCCAGCGCCTTCTTTCCCCACCAGATCGGGTTTGTGTCAACGATGATCACCAGCAGGCTCAGCTCATCATCTGAAAAAGTGACAATACAGCAGCGTCACCCCAACCGCCCTGTGAAACCCTGAGCAGCAGCAACCGAGGGCCCCGAGC